CCCGATGTATGAAGAAAACACTGATCTAGGGAACCCTTTTTAAGTGCTCTGGAGAGAGAGCCTTTCAGGTCAACCTGGTGACGCTTCCAGATAACGTGGAGAGTATTTACCTCTCCTCAGAGAGAGATATGCCCGGAGTCGAGAAACACCCCAAGATCCAAAAACAGTAGACATTATTCATTGTAGGCGATTTTAGAAGTTTCCCTTTAAAATTCGTGAACGTTTTCCATTATCTAATACCTTAAGGTTCAAGTCACAGTTTTTGTTATTTCAATTTTTTTAAAAAAACATATAGCTTTCTAAAGAAACCATACTGGTGTGAGGGATTCAGTATCCTAAAGGGGAAGGGGAAGATCTATGCAGAATAATGGCTCTGCCTCATATCAAAGTGTGTGTTCAAACTCTGGATGTTTTAGTGCTGGGAAACACCCACTAACATTTTTGTGTGGGACTTTTCGTAGCACAAGATACATTGGAATTTGGCCTGGGGTAGAGCTATACTGCCAACCTAGCAGTTCGAAAGCAAGAAATGGCAAGTAGATAAATAGGGACCGCTTCGGTGGGAAGGTAACAGCGTTCCGTGCGCCTTGGTGTTTAGTCATGCCGGCCACATGACCACGGAAACGTCTTCGGACAGCGCTGGCTCTTCGGCTTTGAAACGGAGATGAGCACCACAACCCTAGAGTCGGACTCGACTGGCTTTCGAGCAAGGGGAACCTTTACCTTTTAGAGCTATACTTCATATGCAAGGCCAGACTCGGGGAGCAGCATTGGGGGCATTTGCTGGGAGAGTCCCATGTATCAACAGGGGCCCTACGGCTAACCCCAACAGCTCCTCGAACCCCACTGTGTCCCCTCTGTCTCCTACTGCTTTCTTTCTTTTCCTCTTTGAGCAGATTAGCACCTCCTCCTCTGTCTCTCCCTCTATCTGACACCATAGAAAAGGCAAAAGAGTTGGCAGTGGAAAAGTGATGGTCTCATTCAAGGAGAGGCTGGCGGAGGCCATCTTGCCCAAGCTTCCCTCCTCAAGATCTGGATTTTAAGCCTGGGAGGCAGACATTAAACTTGTGAGGAGGTGGTCTTCAGTGGTTTGCTTTCCCACCTCGAGGACCTCTGCGTGTCTGAAGCAGTCCCCTATTGTCCTTAAAGATGCCCGAAACGTCTTGGGGAACATGGCCTTAGATATACCTGAAACTTCGTGGCGAACATGTTTGCCAGGGGAACATACGACATTCCACAGCGATCCACTGTGTGCCAAGACTTGGATCTCCTCACCCTGCTGCCATCTGACTTGAGCAGCTGTCGAACAGCTTTGCAGCTGTGCGGTAACTTCGGTTGTGAAGTTTGAGTTCTTCTTTCTTGTGTCTGGTTTTGTATCCAGTAGGTGAAATGACTCTTCCCCAGGGCCACCGATGTTCAGGTTTCCATGAAAAATTGGCTCTCTGCTTGCCGTTGACGAGAAGCACAAGCTACCGCCATCTTGGGCTCAACCGCTTGCACATCATCCTGTTTAATATATAGCTAATAATATGTGGGGTGGTAGTTGTGAATTTCCTGCATTGTGTAGGGGGTTGGACTAGATGCCCCTGGAGGCCCCTTCCAACTCTATGATTCTGTGATCCTAATATATGCCATCATGTATCAACAATGCCCTTCTAGTATCTGCATTGACAAGTAATGTCAGTCCCTGCTGGAGAGAATAACTGAACAGAAGTCTTAGCAACATTCAGAAAGATGGTGGGAAGGGACATTTTAATCTTCCTCGACAGAAGATCTTTGCAGAAGATCACTGTTCTACCAAAAAAAAAATTCAAAGGGAATATACAACCAAAAAGTTTTGAATTAGAACTTATCAAGAAATGAAACAATGCCTCGCTATCCTGACTTAAACAGAGACCTGGGTTTCCTTACTCGCTATAGTTCCTAATAGCTCAAAAGGACCTACTTGTTAGAATTTTAATTGGCTCTTTTAATTGGCTCTTCTTAACAGGTTGTAACACGCTATAACCTTTTACTGATGTCAGTTAATTTTCTTATGTGTCAAACTGCTTCTTCCATGAGTAATTGCTGTTCATCCTATTTAATTACACTTTTGATGATCTGTACCTCATGGGAAAGAGACTGGAACCTCTGATCTCTCTCGTCATCTATGATGTCTAGCAACCTAATCTGTCCCAGTCCCTTTCATAGAGAATCACACCTGAAAGATTTATGACGGGATTCACACCAAACCTCTCTCTGCCCTCTACTCCTTCCTTTCCCCTTCGGTCATTTAATTTTCCCTGCAAAAATACAGAGTATGATTTCCTCATCATAGCATCTGAAGAAGTGAGCTCTGACTCATGAAAGTTCATGTTGGAACAAATTATGTTAGTCTGGAAGGTGCCACCAGACTCGTGTTTGATTTAGCAGAATATGAAACAAAGTGGCAAGTGGTTGAGCATCCTCAGTTCTCCTCCAATGCCTCTTGAGTTTGCCACTCCTACCTAGGTCCTGATGCAACCACCTCTTCTCTTCTCTATCAAACCCTAACTCCATACCCTCCTCTCTCCGGAATCGTTTGTCTTTAACCACTTAGTCTTCACACCAATGCTCCCTCTAAGCTGTGGAGTCTTGTGAGCAAAAATTCTACTTTGTGAGCTACTCTTAGCTCAGGAAGGTTGGCTCCAGAGCAAACTAATTTATGCAGTCGGCAAATCACCTGCTCACAACTTTAATGGTGGTAGCTCAGAAAATAGATTTTTTGCTCACAGGACTCCACAGCTTAGAGGGAGCATTGCTCTGGAGCCATATCCTTCCTGAGCTAAGACATAAATGTATGAGCTGAAGGCTAAAAAACTGTGAGCTAGCTCACACTAACTCATTTTTATCTCATCTCAGGAAGGGATGGCCCCAGAGCCAACTAATTGATGCAGTAGCCCAATGGCTCGCTCACAACTTTAATGCCAGTAGCTCACAAAGTAGAATTTTTGCTCACAAGACTCCACAGCTTCGAGGGAACATTGGTCAGGACCAGTGTTCGCTCTAAACTACGGAGTCTTGTGAGCAGAAATTCTACTTTGTGAGCTACCGGCATTAAAGTTGTGAGGGAGCGATTCGGCTGCTGCCTCAATTAGTTTGCTTTGGAGCCCTCCTTCCTGAGCTGAGACAAAAATGTGTGAGCCGGGGGCTAAGAAACTGTGAGCTAGCTCACACGCACTCAGCCTAGAGGGAGCACTGGGACTCGTTTCTTTTAAAACATCAGTTTTCGATGAAAGAATTCATAATGTAGTTCTCAAACTGAAAACTGCTACAATATCAAGAAGGGGCAGACCAGTCTGCCAATGTGTCGTAGTGCTTCGAATGCTGAACAAGGACCGGAGAGACCGAAGTTCGAACTCTCATTCAACCACGAAGTTCGCTTGATGGCCTTGAATCAGTCACTCTCTCGTTGTCTAACCTACCTTGCAGGGTTCTTGTGAGAACAAAAGAGAGGAGGGGAGGGCCCCGTACAAGCCTGAGAAGAATCACAGGATAAAAACAATGGATAGTGGGATGTGTGGATATTTATGTCCTGTCCCGGGAGAGCTAGCTGAAAAGGGAAGTTCTTTTCATCCCGCGGAAGGGGAAGGAGGCCAAGTAGATTTCCCAGGGGCAGATGTGTCAGGGCTGAAAAGACCAGAGATCCTTCGGATGTCAATTTATGTCCTCCTTCCTCTCTTTGGGATAAGATGAGTCCGCCAAGAATGACTGCAGAGAAACACTGAGCTGGGTATGGCTCCGACAACGTCTCTTTCCTCTCTTCTCTTTCGGCAGATTTTGACTAGCATACTCGTCGCAGTCCATCTGCTCTGCTCGGAAGCGTGCATCGATGGGGAGTATGAAATTAACGGGGAGTGTTGTCCAATGTGTGGTCCAGGTACGTCAGCATGGCTGTCCCTCTTTCTCTGGAACCTTATGCACTTTTATCCATTTGGTATCGCTTTCCTGGCCCCGACTGCAGAATTCTGGGAATTGTACTTGTCGAGATGTCGAGAGTTCTCTTGGGTTCCCTCCTTCCCTTCCCTGGGAAAACGGAACGGCTATTAAAGCCGATTTGAGTCTGCCATGTCGATATGCTGCAGGTATCCCCATCTTTGTTGTTTATCGGGTGCTTCGTGTTCGGGACACACAACAAAATGTTTATTATTTGTCTACGTATATAAGATTTATTCACTGCCTCTTTAGAGCCCTGCTCGAGGCAGTTTATGGTGTTGTGAATTGTTGCTCGTTTTTATTAAAGGGGCAATTCCTTGAACACTACGACGGTCACTATCAGCCTAAATTTTAGCCTAATGCTAAGTTTCTCCCTTTTTTTGTCTATAGTGCTTTTTTGTCATTGCGGAATCAGGCCGGGGGGGGGGGCGGTGGGAGATAAACAACTCATTTTTCAAGTCTTTCCACTCCTCCAACAACTGTGTTACGGGTACATTGCCCGATAGCCTTTCACGTCTCAGGATTAGGCCCTGGAGACTGGGGTGACAGCAGGAGTTAAGCGACTTGCTCTTAGCCTCGTCCCTTCCTGAACAATGGGGGAAATTGCCTCACAGCACTGGAAAACACAGGATCAAGTCTCCAGGAGTCCCCCCCCCCATTGCTCCCCCCAGGCTCAATCTTGGTCTTTGGCAGGTTGTGGGGCAAATTCTTGATAGCACTTTGGTCAGGAGTGAACACGCATGATGCTGTCCTAAACCGAATCAGCCCATTGATCCATCACAGTCACTCTTGTCTGTACAGACTAACAGGGGCTCTCCAGGGTGTCTGGCAGAGGTCTTTCACATCCCCTACTGCCTGGTCCTTTTAACTGGTCCAATGCCAGGGATTGAACCTGGGACCCACAAGGTCAGTAGTGTCTATTCAGATGGGCAGCGATCCTGATTTCCAGTAGAGGCCTTTCATATCACCAACTACCTTACCTTTTTAACTGGAGATGCCGGGGATTGAACCTGGGACCTTCTGCATGCCAAACAGATGCCCTACCACTGAGCCACAGCCCCCTCCATAGCTCTCCAGAGTCTCAGGTTGAGGTTTTTCATATCACCTGCTGCCTGGTCCTTTTAACTGGAGATGCTGGGGATTGAACCTGGGACTTTCTGCATGCCAAACAGATGCTCTACCACTGAGCCACAGCCCCCTCCATAGCTCCCCAGAGTCTCAGGCTGAGGTCTTTCATAGCACCTGCTGCCTGGTCCTTTTAACTGGAGATGCCGGGGATTGAACCTGGGACCTTCTGCATGCCAAACAGATGCTCTACCACTGAGCCACAGCTCCTTCCCCTCCTGGTTGGAGGCAGCGGGGGAGGTAAGCAAGTTGTTCCTCACCCCTCCCCAACAATAGCTCTATGAGACCTCCCACCTCTTTAATAATCTGTTTGGAAAGGAAACCACTGGCAAGCCATTTGCATCCAAGATCTAGTTATTTGTTCCTCTTTCTTTAGAAATGATGGTGGTGAGCCAGTTTTCTGTGTACTTGAGAGCCCCCCCCCCACACACACACACTCGTGGTATGTGGAAAAGCCCTCTTCTTCATTGGCAACTTTATCATCCTGCTTTAATTAGCACGGGAGCACTAAATTTACTATCAAACGGGACAACAGTAAAAAAAAAACCACAAGCCATAGCATTGGGTGGGGCGATAGGAACCTGAGCCCTGACTATCACTCTGGGTGTCATCTTTGGATCATGGGCTCAGCTCAGAATGGGCTTGGTACTCGCTCGGAGAACTAGCCAGAAATAGTTCACTTTGGATGATTTGGAGGAGAGACATGTGCGGACTGTCTAGGGTCCAGCTGTTCCACTCCCCTTTCTCCCCTTTAATCTCCCGGACTTTGACCTCGCAAGGAAAATACGTCTGTACAATTCCACTTTACATACGAACACACGAAGCTGCTTTATACTGAGTCAGACCTGTGGTCTATAAAGATCATTATTATCCACTCAGACTGGCAGGGTCTCTCCAGGATCTCAGGCAGAGGCCTTTCACATCACCAACAACCTCATCCTTACTGGATATGCCGGGGATTGAACCTGGGACCTTCTGCATGTCGAGCAGATGTTCTGTCCCTGAGCCATGGCCATTGTTCCCTCTAAGCTGAGTTAGTGTGAGCTAGCTCACAGTTTTTTAGCCTCCAGCTCACACATTTTTGTCTTAGCTCAGGAAGGATGGCTCCAGAGCAAAGTAACTGATGCAGTAGCCAAATTGCTTGCTCACAACTTTAATGCCAGTAGCTCACAGAGTAGAATTTTTGCTCACAAGACTCCACAGCTTAGAGGGAACATTGGCCATGGCTGCCTTGCATGCTGAAAAATGATTCCACCAACTCTCCGCAATGGCTGCTTTTCTCTCTGCCTCCGGCTTCAGTTTGGTGTAGTGGTTAAGTGTGTGGGTTTGATTCCCCACTCCTCCACTTGCACCTGCTGGATGACCTTGGGCAAGCCATAGTTCTGTCAGAGCTGTTCTTAAAAAAGAGCAGTTTCTGTCAGAGCTCTCTCAGCCCCATCTACCTCACAGGGTGTCCGTTGTGGGGAGGGGAAGGGAAAGGAGTTTGTAAGCCGCTCCGAGACTCCTTCGGGTAGTGAAGGGCGGGGTGTAAATCCAATCTCTTCTTCTTCAGCCTAAAATGCTGGCCTGCTTTTTGACCCAGATAACCTATCTGCACTCTTCCTCCAGCTAGAGAGGGAAACTCACCTCTCCCAACCCGGATTGGCACTTGGCCAAAACCATTTCCTGACACTTGAGGCCCATCAGAGGAGGCTGCAATCCGGGCCGGCTCGCTCACTAGGCGAACTAGGTGTTCGCCTAGAGCGCCCCAGCCCTTAGGGGCGCCAAACTGCACTGACCCCCCACCAAAAGCGCCCCTGCTGGCTCTGACGGGGGCGAACGGGGGGCACGGAGGGCGCCAGAAGGGAGCCTCGCCTAGAGCCTCAACCAGGGCCAAAGCCTTTTCTGCCTCGGCCCCAACCTGGTGGAACAAGCTCCCCCCCTGAGATTGGGGCCCTGCGGGATCTGTTACAGTTCTGCAGGGCCCGCAAAATGGAGCTGTTCCGCCAGGTCTTCGGTTGAGGTGGCAGGCGTCCAGTCCCTTCCGACCTCCCCTGCACACAGTCCTTGTCGCTGTGTTTTGCCCACACTGACCCTGCTTAGGAGACCACCAACGGCAGGAGGCATTTGAATTTTTCGTCTTGTTGCCCTTGCTACTATTATTTGTTCATTTTAAACTTGTCTTAGTTTTATCTTTAAATGCCTTTATGGTGGTTAATCTATATATTGCTACCCACCCTGAGCCCGCTTGCGGGACAGGGCGGGATATAAATCAAATAAATACTACTAGAAGAAGAGATTGGCCTTCACTACCCAAAGGAGTCTTGGAGTGGCTTACAATCCCTTTCCTTTCCCTTCTGCACAACAGACACCCTGTGAGGTAGGTGGGGCTGAGAGAGCTCTGGGAGAACTGCCTTTGAGAGAACAGCTCTAAGAGAACTTGTGACTGGCCCAAGGTCACACCAGCAGCTGCATGTGGAGGAGTGGGGAATCAAATCCGGTTCTCCCAGATTAGAGTCGGCGCTCTTAACCACTACTCCAAACCACCACCACCACTACTACTACTACTACTACTACTACTACTACTACTACTACTACTACTATTAATACTAATAATATAGGCACATAACCCTTTGTCCTGAGAGATAGACTGAGCCAGAGTGACTGGAGGTCACAAAACCCTTTGCACATCCCGAACTCCTTAAGGTATGTTAAACGCTCCATCTGAATCTCTTGCAGGATACAGAGTTTTCAAATCCTGCACCTCTATTTCCAGTACAAGCTGCCTTCCTTGTATAGAAGGGACATATATGGACCACCCACATGGCCTGACCAGTTGCTTTCCATGTCGGAACTGTGATTCAGGTAAATACTAACGGAAGGTAAGGGCGGTATGTGTCCCCAGTTGGAACTTCTGTGTCTTCTGGTGGGTAAACAGATAAAGAACATAGTGCAGGTGCCAACGATTCACCATTTTACCGGGAGGAAAGGCACTTTTTAGGCTGTTCCAGTCTTTCAAGCTTGGGGTTAGCAACCAAGGCTTATTCTTCTTCTGTACTCCTAAGAGTCTTAAGCGGTAACCTCCAATTGGGATTTCCAAGAAGAAGGTGCACTGTTCATAGCCAACCGTTCATCTCAAAAATCTGTGGATCCTGTAGGACAGCCCCATAGCCAGAAATGTTGAGTTGGTGGAGCATGGGGGAATTTTGTGGGGCAGCAGGGGAGGGGGAGGAGGGAGGGGGGAGGAAGAGGGGCTTGGAGTTCAGGGAAGGCATGCGGCTGCCCCTCTTCTGCCCTCCCTGCAAGATTTAAAGAGCCCTCCAGCTGATTGGCAGACCACATGCTCCCGCCGATCAGCTGGAGGGCCCTTTTAATGTCACAGGAAGGGAGGGAGGGGGGAGGGGCAGCAGCTGTTATCAATCCAGGATGGGATTTAAACTGCATGTTAAACCTAAGAATTCTGAAAAGTGCTCTAGACTAGTGCAGTCCGGGATCCTGAGATACAGTTTTATTTCCTCCTTTCTCTAAAGAACTCAGGGAGGTATATGTGGTTCCATGTGCCCTTTCCATTTTATCCTTACAACTCTATGAGATTGATTTTATCCTTACAACAACTCTGCGAGATCGATTAGGCTGAGACAGAGGGCCAAACTAGATGATTCAGCACACCTGTGGATACCTGGCCACTGGGGGGCTCCTTTTAGCTTTGCCAGGGAGACCGATTCTGGTTGGGATCACTGCGGCCTGAGGGAAGATGGGCTCCTGCCTTCCCCCATACTATTTTTCCGATCCAAAATGGCACCAGGGGCTCTTGAGAGCCAGTTTGGTGTAGTGGTTAAGTGAACGGACTCTAATCTGGGAGAACCGGGTTTGATTCCCCACTTCTCCGCTCGCAGCTGCTGGATGACCATATTTAAAGAGCCCTCCAGCCGATTGGCAGACCACATACTCCCGCCGATCAGCTGGAGGGCCCTTTTAATGTCACAGGAAGGGGGGAGGGGCAGCAGCTGTTGTGGGGGCATTGCCTCTCATTTGAGGGTGCAGAGCCCCGAAATGCCCCACTGCAGCGATGGACCTGCTGTATGATATCGGCAGACTTTCAGATTTTGTAAAAGCTACCAATATTGTGAATTATCAATCCAGGCTGGGATTTAAACTGCATGTTAAACCTAAGAATTCTGAAAAGTGCTCTAGACTAGTGCAGTCCGGTATCCTGAGATACAGTTTTATTTCCTCCTTTCTCTAAAGAACTCAGGGAGGTATATGTGGTTCCATGTGCCCTTTCCATTTTATCCTTACAACTCTATGAGATTGATTTTATCCTTACAACAACTCTGCGAGATCGATTAGGCTGAGACAGAGGGCCAAACTAGATGATTCAGCACACCTGTGGATACCTGGCCACTGGGGGGCTCCTTTTAGCTTTGCCAGGGAGACCGATTCTGGTTGGGATCACTGCGGCCTGAGGGAAGATGGGCTCCTGCCTTCCCCCATACTATTTTTCCGATCCAAAATGGCACCAGGGGCTCTTGAGAGCCAGTTTGGTGTAGTGGTTAAGTGCGCGGACTCTAATCTTGGAGGACCGGGTTTGATTCCCCACTTCTCCACTTGCATCTGGCTGGATGGCCTTGGGCAAGCCGTAGCTCTGACAAGAGCTGTTCTTGAAAAAGAGCAGTTTCTGTCAGAGCTCTCTCAGCCCCACCTACCTCACAGGGTGTCTGTTGTGGGGAGGGGAAGGGAAAGGAGTTTGTAAACCGCTCTGAGACTCCTTTGGGTAGTGAAGGGCAGGGTATACATCCAATCTCCTCTTCTTCTTCTTCTTGATCCAAAATGGCACCAGGGGAGGGCATCTAGTGTCCTGGCCCCACTGGTGGACCTCCTGATGGCACCTGGTATTTTTGGCCACTGTGTGACAGAGTGTTGGACTGGATGGGCCATTAGCCTGATCCAACACTGGCTTCTCTTATGTTCTTATGTTCTTATATTCTTGTACATCCATTCATACAAAATGGTGAGTTGTCCCCAGAGGTCCTATCAACCATTTGCCAGGGTGGCTGAGGTGGATGAAAACCATTCAGAAGCATCCTTGAAACATTCGATGGATGAACACACAGCACAAAGATGTTGGGCCAACTCTTGCACTTACAACCTATGCAGAAAGAAGGTCACCAGTGTCATGAACCTGTCCCCCAGAAATAGAAACCTAATCAATCAAGTCAGAAAGACAATGTTTGGATGCAGTTTTCTAATCTGGGTGGGATCCAGTTGGTCCAACTGCTACTAGCACATTAACAAAGGGGGTACCAGGAGCAATGGTCTGACACAGACAACTTTAAAGACTAACAGAATTTGTGGCAGGGCATGAGCTTCTTCGGAGCTGCGGTGGCTCAAGTGGTTAAGATGCTGAACTGCAGGCTGTGGAAGGTCGGTAGTTCAGCAGTTCAAGACCCGAGTGTGCCGCATGACGGAGTGAGCTCCCGTCTCTAGTTCCAGCTCCTGCCAACCTAGCAGTTCGAAAGAAAGAAATTGCAAGTAGATAAATAGGTACCACTTCGGTGGGAAGGTCACAGTGTTCCGTGCGCCTTGGTGTTCAGTCATGCCGGCCACATGACCATGGAAACGTCTTCGGACAGCGCTGTCTCTTTGGCTTTGAAACGGAGATGAGCACCGCAACCCTAGAGTCGGACTCGACTGGCTTTCGAGCAAGGGAAAACCTTTACCTTTATGAGCTTCTTCAGATCTGAAGAAGTGAGCCGTGACTCACGAACGCACCTCCCCTGCCACAAATTTTGTTAGTTGTTAAGGTGCTACCGGACTCTTGCTCTTTTCCACTGCTACAGACAGACTAACAGGGCTACCATCTTCAACAGACAACTTTGTAGATATTGATAGGCTTCTAATTGTGCCTTCCAGGATCCAACCTGACGATTAAAGAAAGATGCACTTATACACAGAATGCGGTGTGTTCCTGTGCTTCAGGTTACTACTGCACACACTTTACTGGTGAAGACTGTGACTCGTGTCAAAAACACACTGTCGCCCAACCAGGTTATATGGTGACGCAGGCTGGTAAGACTCACATAATTATGACCTCTGTATCACAGGGCTTCTCTGCATTCACATTTTCCTTGCATGTAAGTTCCCATCTCTTTGTGTGTCCCCCTTTCCGCATGTGTTTTGCTCCCTCTAAGGAGCTGCGGTGGCTCAAGTGGTTAAGACACTGAACTGCAGGCTGTGGAAAGTCAGTAGTTCAGCAGTTCGAGACCCGGGTGCCGCATGATGGAGTGAGCTCCCATCTCTAGTTCCAGCTCCTGCCAACCTAGCAGTTCGAAAGCAAGAAATTGCAAGTAGATAAATAGGGACAACTTGGGTGGGAAGGTAACAGCGTTCAGTGCGTCTTGGTGTTTAGTCATGCCGGCCACATGACCACGGAAACGTCTTCGGACAGCGCTGGCTCTTCGGCTTTGAAACGGAGATGAGCACAGCAACCCTAGAGTCGGATTCGACTGGCTTTCGAGCAAAGGAACCTTTACCTTTATCTTTGCTCCCTCTAGTGGTTGATTTGATATTGTATTGGTTTATGTTTGGCACCTCTCCATGCAGATTTAAACGGCAGATTTTTGTGCTGGATGATGCAATATTGAATCGACCACTAGAGAGAGAGGAACGCCCTGAAGAAACAGGAACTTACAAGTGAGGAAAAATGTGGAAAAACCCATAATAGTGTGGATGCTTCCTTGGGAAAATTCTCTTTTCTCTATGGGAGATCTTGAATTTCTCATACTTGTTACAACCAGAAAATCCCCCTTTTGATATCTGTCTATCTGTCTGTCTGTCTATCTAGTGCACTTCTATCTTATCCTTCCTTTGAAGGGCTCAGATAGCTTGCATGGGTTCCCCTTCCAGTGTCCCCTCTAAGCTGAGTTAGTGTGAGCTAGCTCACAGTTTTTTAGCCTCCGGCTCACAGATTTTTGCCTTCGCTCAGGAAAGATGGCTCCAGAGCAAACTAATTTATGCAGTTAGCCAAATCTGCGCTCACAACTTAATGCCAGGAGCTCACAAAGTAGAATTTTTGCTCACAAGACTCCACAGCTTAGAGGGAGCATTGCTGGCAATGTCGCTGTGGGAGGGGGGATTTCCTCCTGCCAGCCAATGGTTGGCAACGGGCCGGAGCCTGCAAAACCAGGGGATCCCCGGCCCCCAACTGGGGGATGGCAACGCTACTCCCTGTTCCCAGCACTCTTCTGAAGCATCTCCTGCTCCAGTGAGGTGGAGGGAAACCAGGATTAGCTCTTGGCTTTGGAGAAGAGATACTTGTCAGCAAGCTGCCAATTTTCTTTTCTTTTGTGTTCCTATGTGTGCGCTTGCGTGCTTTCGCTTTCTTATGTAAACGTGTTGACGCGCTTAATTGCTTAGCTACTGGAACGCGTATCTCTCAAGGCCACAGGTGGTTGCCGTTTGGATAGTTGCTTGGGTGATCTCACAATGTACCGTGGGAAGGATATTGTTTATGCTATCTAGAAGCGTTTTGCTCCGAAGCCCGATGGCGCGCGGGGGAAGTCCCGCAATTGGGCCTCAGCTGTTTGCACCCCCCTCATTCCTAACAGTGATCCTGTCCATGTACCTATAGCTTCAAATAAAAGTAAAACCTTTTCTACAAGTGTGTACTTCATTGATGCTGTGGGGAACCTGACAATACTTTGGTGAAGAAGCAAATGGGCACCAAGAAACCCACTGGCAGCTGGGCCTGTGGTTCCTGTGGGTTCCACATTGGGGATCACTGGTCCATCGTGCTAGGGTGCCTGTCAGGGCCCACCTGTTTCCCAGCAGGCGATCTGAGTTTACCCCAACCTGGAATCCCCCTTGCCCTGAGTTCTGGTCCCTCCCAATAAATAGCTTTAATGCCATTGCCAGCAGCTCACAAAGCAGCGTTTCTGCTCACAAGACTCCACAGCTTAGAGGGAGCTTTGCCCCCTTCCCCATTGTATTCTCACACCAACACTGTGAGGTAGGTCAGAGTTAAGGGAGCCTCATTCCTTAGCACAGAGAGAGCAACAGTGCCAAATTCACCCCAGCAAATTATATGTCAGGGAATCAGGGGTGGTGGTTGAACCTCAAACTCCCAAACCTTAGTCTGACACACTTAACTGCTGTACCACACTAGTGTGGTGTGCATCTCTTACATGAATCAGACTTGTGATTCTCTGTTTTCATGTCATTTCCCCTTCTCATCCATTTCCCCTCCATAATATTCCATTTGCTATTTGTAAATCAGTGAATTTCTATTATGCATCTATGATGGGCTCTGCTATCAGGCCACAGTGTTGCATCCAAAAGCAGGCGATCTGAGTTTACCCCAACCTGGAATCCCCCTTGCCCTGAGTTCTGGTCCCTCCCAATAAATAGCTTTAATGCCATTGCCAGCAGCTCACAAAGCAGCGTTTCTGCTCACAAGACTCCACAGCTTAGAGGGAGCTTTGCCCCCTTCCCCATTGTATTCTCACACCAACACTGTGAGGTAGGTCAGAGTTAAGGGAGCCTCATTCCTTAGCACAGAGAGAGCAACAGTGCCAAATTCACCCCAGCAAATTATATGTCGGGGGTGGTGGTTGAACCTCAAACTCCCAAACCTTAGTCTGACACACTTAACTGCTGTACCACACTAGTGTGGTGTGCATCTCTTACATGAATCAGACTTGTGATTCTCTGTTTTCATGTCATTTCCCCTTCTCATCCATTTCCCCTCCATAATATTCCATTTGCTATTTGTAAATCAGTGAATTTCTATTATGCATCTATGATGGGCTCTGCTATCAGGCCACAGTGTTGCATCCAAATTACGTTAATATAATGTATATAATTTATTTTGATATCAGCGTATTATTTATTATTGTTTTCTAGACTGGGGCTCCCTGGCCTTTTTGAGCCTGTGGGCCCCTTTGGAATTTTGATACGGTGTGATGGGCACAGACACAAAATGGCTGTCGCTGGAGGCAGGGCCGCACAGAAAATGGTTGCCGCCGTGAAGACCGTTGTGCTGGGGCAGCACTGCTCCCGAAGCTATCTCCAGTGCCCAATCAGAAGACATGCTTGGCAAAAGCTCTACTTGGTCCCGCCCACTTTCTAAAACAACACTTAGTGCCCTCCAGAAAAAGAGTTGGCTGGTGCCACGTTGCCCACAAGCACCACATTGGAGACCTCGTTCTAGACAGAGTCACATGTCTTGACTTTCTTCTCCTGTTATAGGCACCGAAACCACCGATACCCAGTATGTGCCTTGCCCGCCTGGCACCTTTTCAACGGAAGCGATGTCCTTCTCTTGCAAACCATGGACCAAGTAAGCTGCTTTTATCACGGCTTCCGTCAGGGCTGCTCGCTGATCACGTTAACTTCTATGTCGCCCATTTCACATCCACGTTGTTACTGATGACAAAATGTAGAGAAGTCCCAGAACTGAGCTCAGCTATGACGGCCAAATTTCTTTCCGTTGAGGCTTCCATATTGGGAATAAAATGACTAGAATATGCCAGGAGAGAACTCCCAGTAAAACCGAATGAGCTGGGATGGATCTAGTATTATCTTCATCACAGCTAGAACGTTTAGTAGGGCCATCATTTGATTGAAGCACTTAATTGATGAATCACATGATTAAACATATGAATTTTGGTCGACTGATCAGATCTGTATATCTTTGCATATTAAAAAAACCACAATCTTTATGGTGAAAAAAGAGCAATATCTTTTTGTGTTTAGATGATGGATGCCCCAGATATTGTCTCAGAAGAGGCATTTCCTCTTGTTCAAGAGAGAATGCCTCTTCTTAGAAGGTATCTACTAACGGTGGGTTTAATTTGCATACATTACAATATAAATGAAACTATCTGTTTTTGGGGGAAAGCATTCTCTCTTAGTTGATAAATGCATTTGTCACAGCTGGCACCTGCTCAGAAGAGGTATTCCTTACTGTGTGTGAGACAAGGGAATGCCTCTTCCAGTAAGAGGCATGCTGCTCCTGGAATTGTAGACTTTTCATGAGCAATAACATTTTTAAAACATCTGCTGCCCAGTTGATTGACGGCATGTTTCTTATCATTCAGCATAGTTTCAGCCAGTCTCACTGAACAATACAGATCCCCGGTTGACAGTGTTAGCGTGCCATTTTTTTCCGTCAATACCATTTTGGCCGGCCAGAGGTGAATTTTGAACCAGGGGCTTATTCACTGTTCCATTGGATAGCTGATACCCTACAGCAGTCCATAAGGGACTCTGGACACATAGGACAAACACAATCCTGCTTGGAATTCATGGTTTCTTTTCGTCTGCCTTTCAGCTGCAGCGAATCAGGCCGCACGGAAGAAAAAGCTGGAACAACAACTTCCGATGCAGTTTGCAAAAAAACACTTATATATGGTGACAAAAACTTCCACAGTCACATAATAGCATTTATAATCCCTTGTCTCTTCGTTCTATTGCTTGCTGCCGCATTAATTTATTTCTTCTGGAGAAGAAAGAGGAAGTCTGAAATAATAGGTGAGTGGGCAAACGACCAGTCTCTGCCTTTTGAGACACACTCTGCAGTGTAGGTTTTCCGACAAAGAGGAAAGAAACACCTTATTCCAATTTCACCCTCTCTTGGATGTACGAACACTGAGGTTTATTTGATTTTGTCAGAGTTAAGGGAGTCTCATTCCTCAGCACAGAGATCCCAGATTTCATCAATGTCTGTTAGCATTTGGCGGGCAGTAGAAGTAAAACCAACCTGTATATTTCAGCATTTGGAGGGCAGTAGAAGTAAAACCAACCTGTATATCTATTTCCCAACTACCTGCGGATAGCTAAATCTGCAAATTGGGGCCACACTAAGATTTTTCTGCAAACTTGGGTGACCCCTTAAATATGCAGAAAAAAACTGAAATCTAAAAAAAAAATACATGGGGGTTAAATCCCCCCCAAAGTAAAACAGTGTTCTCTGTGCACACACAAATGCTGTTTGCTACATACCTTCTAGGGCTGCGGTGACTCAGAGGTTAAGATGCTGAGTTAGAGACCGGAAGGTCGGTAGCTCGGCAGTTCGAGACCTGAGTGCCGCATGATGGAGTGAGCTCCCATTTCCGGCCCCAGCTCCTGCCAACCTAGCAGTTCAAAAGCAAGAAATTGCAAGTAGATAAATAGGGACCAGTTTGGTGGGAAGGTAACAGAGTTCCGCGTGCCTTGGTGTCTAGTCATGCCGGCCACATGACCTCAGAAAGGTCTTTGGACAGTGCTGGCTCTTCGGCTTTGAAACAGAGATGAGCACCACATCCCTAGAGTTGGATTCGACTGGTTTTCGAGCAAGGGGAACCTTTAGCTTTACACACCTCCTGCGTGGCGAAGCATCCCAGGGACTGTGGCAGGTCCAGCAGAGGCAGCAGCAAAGTCCCAGAGGCAGCTGGAGGAGAGGTCGGGGGCCACGCTGGGGCCAGCGTTGGCAAAGAAGCAGCCTGGGGGCTGCACTGGCCCTGGTCTTTGCGGCCGTGACACAACCCGGGAGTCGCATTGTGCTCAATGCGAGCCGCAGCACAGCCCCTGAGCAATGTTCCCTCTATGCTGTGGAGTCTGGTGAGCAAAAATTCTACTTTGTGAGCTCCTGGCATTAAAGTTGTGAGCGAGAGATTTGGCTACTACATAAATTAGTTTGCTCTGGAGCCCTCCTTCCTGAGCGAAGACAAAAATCTGTGAGCTGGAGGCTAAAAAACTGTGAGCTAGCTCACACTAACTCAGCTTAGAGGGAACACTGCCCCTGAGTCATGCTGGGCCTGGCAAGAAAGTGGGGGAAGGGAATCCCCCCACCCAGTGTCACTGACCCACATTGGACAACCACTATATTTCGTGGTTAAAACCAGAATCCATATTTCTACAGCAAGGAATTGCAACTCGAGGGCCTTTCCTGTTGGTCAGGTCTCCTTCAGCGTAGTCAGAGGGCCCGAATGCAAACGTGGCTTTTGTAAATACCTGGGAGCCGTGACAGTTAAAGCAGAGTTGAATTAAAAGTGCTACCAAATCCCACAATTCTGTTGTTTGTTTCATCTTGAGAGCCAGTTTGGTGCAGTGGTTTGGAGCATGGACTCTAATCTGGGAGAACGGGGTTTGGTCCCCCACTCCTCCACATGCAGCCAGCTGGGTGACCTTGGGTCAGTCGTAGTTCTCTCAGAGCTGTTCTCTCAAGAGCAGTCCTCGAAAGAGCTCTCTCAGCCCCACTTCCCTCACAGGATGTTCGTTGTGGGGAGGGGAAAGGAAAGGAGATTGTAAGCTGCTCTGAGACTTCGGGTAGTGTAGGGTGGGGTTTCATAATACAACGGAGGGAAAAGCCAACGCAGAATCACCCGTTGTCCTCGAATATAGAGCTTCGATACCAAATGCAGACTCAGTGGCACATAAACGTCAATGAGAACTTCATTGTGTTGTTTTTTCAGAAAGCTCTTTCTTTTTCTTTTTCTGCAGCTGCTGCTAAGCAAGAGGTGAGTGTCTGCGATGAGCTGTTTGTTTTTATCCCCTCTTCCCATTTCATCCTCTCTTTCTGTCACCTGTCTAGTGCACCTGTGTGGCAGACGTTCGGTAGAATGTGTGGTTAGTGTGACTCCTGCGACTATGCACTCACTCTCCTTCTTTATGGGCTGTGTGGTTCTGTGAGGGGGGCTTGGGATCTCTAATGGAGAATTCACAGCCATCACCAAAGTAAAATTTCTACAACTCCGTGATGGAAACCAATATATTTATATTGATAGTATAAATTGGAGTCTCCAACCTTTTTGAGCCAGTGGGCACTTTTGGAATTGTGACACAGGATAGTGGGCGTAGCCACAAAATGGCTGCCTCGGGAGGTGGATCCAGCTACAAAATGATTGCCCCAGTTTACTTTCAGCCACACAGCGAAGATCCTTGTGATTTGATGACAGCTGCTGCCAAAGCAACGGTTTCAAAAATCTGCACAGCCAATAGGGCTGCCAGGTCCCCGAGGGGGGGGGCAGGGGTTTGCCTGCTCAAAGGGCCCCCCTGACCCGCCAGCCCAGATCCAGCCAGTGGGGGGAACCCCACCCCCAAAGTGCCCAGATCAGGCCGACATGCCCGGAGTGATGACGTCACCCGGAGGTGACATCATTGAGCTGGCCACGTCGCCGGGGAGACTCTCTAGCATTTGGCCTGAGAACTCTATGGTATCATAGAGTTCTCAAGTCAAATGCTAGAGCGTACACTGGCAACGTGCCTAGTGCGATGATGTCACTTCCGGGTGATGTCATCATGGGGCATGCGCAGGGACATTCTCCCCCCGCCAAAACAGGTAAGAGACCTGGCAACCCTAACAGCCAATCAAAAGCATTCTCGGGCAAAAGCCCACTTTCTAAAAGCACTTGGTGGGCTC